GGACAAGAATGACCACTGAATGACAAATAGAAACATCAATTCTAGTCTGAAACATTTAAGGCTAGTACTGCCATCTTTTATTTACACCTTTCTGCCATGGAAGATAAACATGATATTACATCAAAAACAGAAAATTAGAAATATATGTTTAAAATATATCAAGCTATAAATTCCTAATTTATATAAATAAAATCATATCTCCTGATTTTTCATGGCAGAGAAGATTTTTCTGTGAGCCTTTCTACATCAGTCTTTATTCCATGCATGAAGTAAATGTACACGTAGTGCAAGTGAGTATCATGTTTTCTGCAGTTTCCCTGTGCATGAAGTCTGAAATATTTCTACACCCATGCAAAATTTCCTTGAAAAAGATCAAAGACAAAGGTTCTTAGTGTTACAAAGAATATGAGTTTAGCTGTGGTGTACTGGAACATCCAACACTAACACATGCAAAAATATCTTCATTCTGTAGAAAATATTAAATAAGTATTTTCACTGTGTCTATAAATTCAAATATATAATGAAATATATAAGTTAAATTTAATTAAATGCCTTAAAAATATCTAATCTAATCGCTTGTTAAATTTATGTTATTCATAGTAAAATTAGTAGAATTTTTGTACTTGTTGTCAAAAATCTGTTAGTAAAAGGAGTGGGGCTGGAACTGCTCGTAGTCTCAAATTGAACTGTAGCAGACGTCAGAGCAGTGGAAGTTGCAGCATCAGTAAAACTATCGAAACCATGCACATCTGACACTGTTGATGTTAGTTGTAAATAGTTAGTAGATGCTGATAACACTATAGTGGTATTTAGTAGTGTGAAATTAGAAGTAGTAGTAGTAGTAGTAGCAATGGCTGTTGTAGTAGTGGCAGTAGTAGTAGTAGTAGCACTAGCAGATAAGCTCACAGGAGTGGTGAGACTAAGACTTCCAAGGATGGTTATGAGAGCTATAGGAAGCAAAGGTAAAGTCAAGATTAGCACAGAGAGTTACAACAATCATGAAATGGTCTTATGATAACAAACACATGAAAAGTAGGAAAATTACACAAATTCAAATATGCACAATTCTGTGACCAAAATCTACCAGTGGTTTTATTTGTAAGACACCATAATTTTCCAACTATCTTTCAAACATAAGATATATTTAAAAGAAACATGTCAGAGAAAATACTTTTGTACATATAAAACAGACCATATCATCTTTAGTTCCATGAATTTGATTTTAAAATCAAAATGATATATTAATCTAGCAATGAAACTAGCACACTGTAATATGTCTCCATATCATACATCTGAAATATAACTAATCATATTTTGTTAAACATCATCAATTTAACTGTATCATACATTATATGATTCTTTCATCAACAAATATGACAGCAGAAAGAGATGAAAGTTAGCTGCAGCACTGGTGAACCTACCTCTGTGTGGCTCTCCCAACAGTAAACCTTCCTTGGGACTAGCTAATACCACTTCAAATTGTTCATCTGCCTCTGCTTCATTATCATCAAACACCTGAACCATAACCTGTTTGGTGGTTTCTCCATCAAGGAATATCACATCCTGTGAAGTATAAGGTGATCTCACTGTTACACAAATACATGTAGTACTACTTATTTAAACAATTTCTATGATAACTTTTTAAAATGGACCTATAGGTATCAAAAGTACAGATGCATAAAAAACAACTCTACAACATTAATAAATGTAAGGAAAATAAGTGATTCAGAATCAAATACAGGAACTATTTAATCAACAACAACTGAAAATAAAAATCTCAATATGAGACCTTTCACAAGTTACTGACCAAACCTTGATGAGTACTTGATTCACTTATATTCCTCATTTACTACTACTACTACTGGAACTGGATGCATTCACTCATGATTTGTGTAATAATTGACTGTGACAAGATGATAAGTTATCACCTCAAGTTAATTACCTGTGTCTTCACAGAGTAGTCCTGTTCTGTCCTTGCTCCTTCCCCTAAGCTCCTGGCATATACAAACACAGACACATTGCCAAAGGTTCCGCGTCCTCGAACTATGGTCAGGGAGAAGTTTACATTGGTTTCATTGACTGTTATCCTGTAATAAATCATCATTGGTTATAAAAATCATTGGCCATATCTATCAACCTCTCAATTACACTTCCTATGGCTTGCTGTGAAACTAAATGCAGAAATAGCCATAGAAACATGTTCCTTCATGTTAGATGAAACATAATTTTAAAAGGATTATGTTCCCTGCAAAAATATTCAGGAGGTTGAGGATTACCTGGCAGAATCAGCAGGAAAGTAAACCTCTCCTTTAGTGCCATCATTAGCGCTTATAAGGACTTCAGCAGTAATGTCAGCTGATGCTAAAAATAAATATGTAAACAATTTCAACATCAGATACTTGTAAAACATATCTGAAACCCAATCTAAGTTACAATTATCTTTTTATATGAAAGGCTGTTATTGATATTGTATCTTATCTATTTCATCACTAGAAATAAAGCAAAAGCTATTGTTGACTTTGAATTAGATGTGCAGCAGAAAAATGTGCTCTTTATTTTCTAATCCCATAAATAAGTTACCTTTAAATTGATTTCCTAAGGCAATTATAAACTCATCATAATTAGACAAAGCACACTAATATAGGCTGAACCAACCTGAATGGAAATATGGCTTAACACCTACCAAGTGATGGTTCAAATGTGCTGTTATCAGGGTTCACTTTCTCCACTCTGGTCAGACTAACAATAAACACTTCATCCACCTCTGGGGCCTCATCATCTACAATCTGGACCTCTATATTACCAGAGTTTGCTCCATCATGGATAACTATACTGCCAGTCTTTGGAACAAAGTCCTGACCTGGTTCTGCCAATATTTTGTTCACATTCAGATTACTGAGTGAACCTTTCTTGATTTCATAGTATACACGGATGTCCCCTGAAAAACAGGACAGGCATTATTTAATTCTGAATAGTCAAACATATTAATTCTGATACTTCAATGCTCATTCATCACTGACCATTGCATGATACATTGGGTTACAGTTGCATTTTACCTTGAGCAACACTCGTTTACATTTTCAAATTTCATCTTCTTTATTTTTGCTCAAAAGATGTATTTACTGTCTTATTATTTGAGAACTGTACCCCTGTAACTGGTCTATATTTTATTCCATAAAACACTTGCCATATCCAAAAGCCACAATGTTACTATTTCAAGTTACCTATAGCTCCAAACTTTCTGTCCACCATGAGTTGCACTGTGGTATTGGCCTCTGGAGTATGTACCAGCATGGAGCTGGAGGCAAACTGGAACACGCCATGGGGATCATTACTGCCCTGGATTGTAATACTGGCCACATAGCTCTGGGGATCCAAGATGGCTTCTCCTGTTTGTCGAACACCTGAAGCGATTGATGAATAATTTTGATTTTCTCATTTTTTTCATATTGAAATTTTTATTAATCATGTCTCAAGTAATTTCTGTCTTTGCAACACAAGCTAAAAATGAGATGTTGTAGGAAATTAGAACATTGTTGAACATTGTTACATTTCCCCCCCCCCCCTTTTTTTTTCATCAAACCCATAACAAGTAGATTGTCTCAAAACACAAATGAGTCATTAGGAATTACTTCTAATGTTGCAAATTGTATATTTACATACATTATGATTAAATACCCTCCTAATAAAAATATAAATTTATATACAATCAACAAAGATATTATATTTGTGAAAAGTTATAATTTTCAATGTCTTAATCAGTATGTCCATAAAATACAACTGAAAACAAATCAAAGACTTCATTCCACTGATACAGAAGACTCTATTTCTTTTCTGTAGTCCTATCAATTTATCTTGGTCAAATGCATACACACACACATCTAAGAAGTTGTGCTGAAACAATAGAAGAAAGTTAACATAAATGAAAAACTTCCAATGAGAGAAAAAACATATTTCCCTTCCTGTAAAGCAAAAGAAAAGATATGTAAAACAAAACATAAAATAGCATGGAAAAGTCATGATCAGCCTGATCAAAGAAAAAAAATCACAGATTGAAAAACAATTTCAAAAATGTTGGCATTAATTTTATGATCCTTTATGTTGTTGCTTGCCAGCTCATGCAATAGATGTCCTTCTCAAGAAACTATATATATATATAGTGAAATAAGACAGGAGCAGATGAAAGGCCATCCTATTTTATCTAATTTAACCAATAAAATATTTTATTTTCATCCATAAGCAATAAAAATAAATGCCCAAAACAAAAATCTATAAGAGAAATTAACTGCTAATTTCAGCAACTAATCTAAAAGGAATATTGTCTACTAATATTCAGTTCTTGTCCAGATACATACCATAATAAAATCCATTCATTAGATTACAGACACATGGAACAATATAATACAGTTAAAATGATACTTTAAATTACAACTTCAGCTAAAAATAAGGACGGAATAATATGGGTTTTTGCTTTACCATTTGATAGATACTTACTCTTCCCATTTTTTAATGAAAAAAAAATGTGACCAAACAAACAAACGTGAAGATCATGACAAACAGGAGTTGTAAAACTGTGTTAGTCACAACATGAATCTTCCCAAAAAGTAGTATTCTTTGTATTTCATAAGTATAAAAAAACCAAAGGCAAATCCTTGTTTATTTCTTATTTAACAATGAAAGTCATAAAGCATGCAATAATATCTTAGCAACAGCTTACCTGATGTAACAAGATTTTTGAGGAAAATGCGGTATTCTTCATTGACCTCTGGAGTGGCATCTTCCAGAATGTGTAATGATATGGTCTTTTCTAATTCACCCTGATTAACATAATTAGATCAATTAGGAACAAAACAATACATCAATATAAACAATCCATTTGGAATAAATAGGAGGCAACTTACAATAACAACTTACTATAATTACTGTCATAAACAACAATCATATTTTTTCAAAGCCTTCAATCACTATGAACTGATTTCTCAAAATAAACTACATAAGTTTGCTGCACAAAAATATAATATCCCTCATATTATCAATAAAATAATGTAATATCACACAATTTTACCTCCTTAAAGACCAGTGAACCCTGGTACACCCTGAAGCCTAGAGCAGGGTTCAGTCCATTCAAACCCTTGATTTCCCAGTCCATGCTGGCGTTACCACGAGCTGGGCGACTCCTCTGAACAACCATTGTCAGGTTATCCCCTGGGAAGGGTATTATCATTTTAAATCATTTCCGAATTTTCTAACCACCAAGTAATTCTCAAAAACATTATAACAATTTGCAAATAGAGATCTTTTACAAAGAATGGCTGCCCTTGTTAAAATCAATAAAAATGAGATTGAATGAGAACAATATGTCGTACTACATGCATATACATGAGAACATTACATCTTTAGTTTATACAAGAATATATAATGTATTCTGCAATTCCCCTTTCCCTAAAATAAACATAGGGAAATAGTAAAATAGCAGGAAATGTGCACACTGCAAAGAACTATATCTAACTCATATTCTCCTTACCCTCCCTAGCCAGTACAGAGCTCTGAGCAAAGCCAAGTGTTCCTCCTACGTTGTCATTGGCCATGATGATCACATTGACTGTATTGTTTGGACCTATCACAGCACCACCTTGTGGGTTGGATAAAAAGATGAGAATGTTCTCATCATCTTCTGCTTCATCATCATCAATGATTCCAATGGTAAGAGCTAGAATGAAACATGATATGTTATTTAATGGTGTCCCTATAAATTAACAAATCAAAAATAAAAATTTAAAATAGAACAGATTAAACCAACTACAACAAACTGCTTTTCAATAAGACAACTGCATGCAATTCACACACTTTTATCATTAGGATGAAACATTAATTACACATATTTCAGACTAAACAATAATTTTTCCACCTTTCAAAGTTTTGCACACTTAAATGTTATGACTACTACTACAGTACTACTACTACTTGCACTACTACTACTACTACTACTACTACTACTACTACTACTACTACTACTACTACTACTACTACTACTACTACTACTACTACTACAGTAACTACAAAAATCTGTACCTCGTCTAGTCTCTCCTGGTCCAAATATAAGACTGGCCCCATCAGCAATAAAGTCTATACCCTTTGTAGCATTGCTCCTTGACTGATCAACTGACCACATTACATACACTTCACCAATACTACCACCTAGAATGATCATCATCAGTCTTAAATCACCTATTTACATGGATAAGATACACGTAATAACATAGAAAAGATGAAAAAAAAGTTCTGTTCACTTCAGACTACTCTACATCTGTTCTGTATCAACCAAGAAACAGCTTAATTTTATTGCACTTGTCTTGATATAGCAGTTCACCAATACAAAAAACTGTTAATCCTGAAGTCCCAATAACTTCAATGTATTGAACCAGCTCTAGATCAGCACTGATATAAAGAAGCCTGATGTGAACATAGAAAACACAGAAAAGCTGACAAATATAAAGATTAAAGTGTAAAAATGTATATGAGAGGAAGTCAGATCTACTTACGTGGATCAATGTACTCAACTAGATATTAAGGATTGAAGAAATATAAGGTTAAAATTTGTAGGAGGATTCAGTTCAGTAAGAATACACACAAAGTGAAAATAGTATTATTACATCTTAACATACAAAAAGAGGAATGCAAAAGGTGAATAGTAATTCATTGTTCATAATGTCCACAGATAATTATCTATAATAAACACTTCTTTTGGAAATACTTCTAAAACCATTCACATTTTTATCAATTCTTGTTAATATTATGTTGTACATATTCTTCTTAAATTTTATCCATCAAAAAACAAAACAGCACCATCCATAAAGATTTTTCTAATCATCTACAAAATCGATCACTCCCACATCGTAGTTTCATGTGTGTATATTAATAATCACTCTTTGCCATTATTCAAAAACCTTTTTAAAGGTATATGAAGAAAGATTTACAGTATTCTGTTATGATGTATGGCACCTGAACCCACCTGCTCTTTCTACCACCAGATCTACAAACAGTTTCTCTCTCTCCTCCACTTCCACCACCCTTCCTCCATTCAAGGCACGCGGGTCATTACTGAAGATACTAAATATTCCATTGGCATCATCATTCTTATCAATGACCACAGTGGCCATTTGGATATTGCCCAGTCTGGGGTTGTTTCGTGGATTGCTGGGTGGACCACTGACCAGTTCCACATTGGTCAGTCTGACCAAAAATCTTTCATCCAGCTCAGGAAGACGGTCGGCAAGGATTTGGATTGGGATGGTGCCAGAGCTGGCTCCATCTTGAATGATAACAGAGGCACCTGTCACTGGGGTGTAGTCCTGACCTGATTCTGCCTGGATGTCATACAGGGTCATTGCCTGGTAAAAAAATTAAAACACTGATAAATAAACAGGCAAAACAAATGCCTTAATTTTTGTATGCTGAAGTGTTTATAAAATGGTCACAATTTTTGTTCATTTTTATTTCATGGGTTGAACTATGCTCAATTGAAGTTCATTTAATGAGATGGATTTGTTGCCATATGTTTTTATATTTATTTATTAAAGATTATTTTTTGAGGATAAAAACATATGGTAAATCTAAAATTTATTTTCTGTCTGGCCCTTGTGTATTTTTTTGATACAATGTTCTTAAATCTTAACGTTAACTACACTGGCAGACTCACTCAATACTTATAATAAAAATTTAACTGAAATATTGCCTGATAACACATATTTAAAACATCTGGTCTCACCATCCCGCACAATCATATCACAATAAATACAAATATAAAGCTTCCTTATCTCACATAATGCTCATACTTTGGTAACATTCTTCATATAATAGCGCACATCAGCAGCAGGCATGAAGCTGTCGTTTCTTCCAGAGGTAAACCATGTACAGATTGCTGCAGTGGAGTTGTACTGGAAGACCAGGCAGGCTCTTGTAGACAGACAGGTTCTTGCACACATCTGAAAAAACAACAACACACAGCAATACAGAACAGCATGATGGCCATTCAGATTACTTTAAAGAGTGGACGGAAATCAATACAGAAAAATGCGCATCAAAAATAATGGTCTTATCAAATTTTGCCATTCTGAAGTATCAATTGCAATTAAATCAGACCTTTAAAACCTATCAGTAATAAAACCCTGACTATGATGAAAAAGAGTCCAGATAACAAGTAGACAGTGTATCATTCTATCAATTTAGAGAGTGCGTATTTCTGTGATTGAATACTATAAAATGTTTTTCTACAATAAATCTTTTCCTACCTCCACTGGCTCTGGTGCCCCACTCACATCCACACTGAATCCATCCTGTGGTGTATTAGCCCCATAGACAGGCTGTGTGTAGTAGTCAAGTATGTCCTGTCCCTGGTTAGACACTATAGCCAGGATATCCACCTGCTCTGTACTATAGGATACTCTAAGTTGTCCAAAGGAACCACCACTGAATAGAGATTTTGTAAGAATTAGCCATAAAAAGATTTGACTCAACATCTAAAATGTAATCAAGATAAAGTAGATTATTCTAACTTTTCAAAATTGAGTTAATTTAAGTAAATAACTTGATTTTATTTATGAAACCTGACGATATGCATTAATTTCATTAAAATATGCAATGAACAACATTTCTTCTATTTAATCAGGGTGCTTGTATTAGTAGGATCAACATGGACATTAACACCACTAATGGCCTCTGATTTCTAAGACAAAATATATATTTCAATAGTAAAAACAGAAAAAAAAGACAAGAAAGGAGAGGTATAAAAGTGATCTTAAGTTCAGTCTAACTTACCTCCTTGTTAGTTTGATGTGCTGGGTGTCATCAGCAGACAATTCCTTAAGGACAAACCTATCCTGCTCAAACTGGACAATACCATGTGGATCATCATTGGGCAGTATGGTAAGTCTGAACACATTCCTGCTGCCTACCCTACCTCCATTAGTGGCTGCAGTCAATGTTATCAAAATGTCCTGAAAAGAATGAAGTTTTAGATTTAACATTCCGAGGTCTAAATTTATAAATTTTTACAATGAGAGTTCTACTCACTTTTCACACAGGATTTAACATTTGCCAGCCGTCTATGGTTTTAATTTTTGTCTTTCAAAAAACAAATGTAAAAATTAACCTCTAACACAAAGAGTCATCATCCTAAATGATAATCATAAGAAGGATTGTTAAAAGAAATGGAATATTGCTTTATCTATTTGTACCTCCTGGTCCTCAGGTTCATCATCAGGCAGTACAGTAATGACTATCTTTTCACTGGCTTGGTTACTGGTAAAGTAGATGGTGCTCTGAGTTGGGGAGACGTCTGCTGTGGCAGGAACACCTGAAGTTATGAAAAGAGGGAAGAAATATAATAACAGGAAAAGACAAAATTTGGCCCTTAATGTGTGATAATTATTTTCCCCCTTATCCGGTTATACAATGACTAACTTTCTTTCTTTATGAAAATTATTTGATCTTAATGAGAAGGAACAGTCTTAGAATTTAATTATTGGTTCTAATTTTGAAGATACATCCCCCTCTTTTTAAAAAAATTTTATTCAAACTTTTTGTCTTTCTTTTGATCAACTGCCTGAAATGATAACTTTGATTTTTGCAAATTTTGTCATTTTTTTGTCACTGATGATCTTCAATGAAAACCAAAACCTTTCAAGCCATGACAAATAATTTACACTAATTTCAACACAAAGTACCTCATCTACACCCTATAAATGTACATAACTCAATTTGTCTTGTCATCACCTACTATAAAATGCAAAATAAGAGGCAAACACATCTTTACCCAGGGTTTTTCATTGTTCTTTCCCAGAACTTCTCCAAATGTTCATTTCACAAATCATCCAAGGGATGTTAATAGCATTTTAGCTCTCCTCCAGGGCAGTGAAATGTTCTGATTCTTATTCCTATCCAGGCCTCATTTATTTCACTCTTTTTTGTAATCTGATCCCAAGTAATAAACATGGCACAAGATTGAACTTAAGGTAAATTTTTTATATAATCATATCAATGTCTAATGTAAAAGCCATGATGCATGGTTAGATGTCTACAAAAAATAAAAAAAGGTCAGACAAATGAAGTGGGATGAATAAAGGAGGAACTGCAGCAAAGTATTTTTCTGTTTGATTGAAAAGCTTTCAGCACATTTGCAAAATCAGCAAATTTCAGATCTAAATAATAAAGGCAAAAAACAAAAAAAACAAAAAAAACAATGGCATGAAACAAAAAGTCAAACCTAAAAACTAAGAAAAATAACTACACACAATCTGTTCTTGACAAGATGGTTTTTGACTAAGAAAAGGGATCTTATCCCCAGATGTTATAAGCCTGGAAACACTAAAATCAGGGAAATACTTATATCTTTTCCATGTTCACTTGAAACTAATTCCTCCCAGTAAGAGTGCCTTAAAGTCCATGTGTGAATGTTAAGCTGTTGTTAACTCTGGTTTAAGTTCAATGACCTCCAATTCCCCACCGTCTATTCCATTATCAGTCTATTCCATTGTCGTAGGATGTAGTGGTTAGTGGTTAGATGTAGTGGTTTTTATTACTTATTACTTAATGTCTTTTCAAGACATTTAATTATATTCTATCTACTTCTGACCATAGAGACTATGAAAGAAACAAATTGTTTACTCTTCCCTACACATCTGCAATCTACGAACATTGCTAAGAGAAGTTTCTTGTTCAATAATATAATTATCCTATTATTCTTGGACATGGTTGACAATGATTCATTAGAAATTCCTCCAAGTGTTCAAAGATATAATTCATAGATTCAAAAGATATTATACTCCTTTTTAATTTTCTGAAGGAATTTTTCTTTAACTAAGAGGCTTTCTTCTTTCTGGTTCAATAGGCAATTATCTAAATTTATTTCAGTATGCACTGATTGACAAAGTTTCATAAATAAAAGCAGAAAACATCTTAAGACTCTAAATTATAGATTCCCAGGGCAATGACTTTTTAATTTTCTGAAAAGATTTAGATCTCATTCACCTGGAATTAAGCCAGCACTTACACAGTGCAGCATACCCTAAAGGGGTAAAGGTCCCTGTGAATGATTACAACATAATCGTAACTTCTTAACAAATTAAAGCAAAATGCCTTGCTACGTCATGATCTCTGTTTAATGTACCTACCATTGTCTTTTGTTAATTTTCAATGAATGGATAACATTGCTAATTTGACGTCAGAGTCATGAAAAATGCTTTTGTGAAATCTTTATTATTGGTTACAAGTGCTCAAAATACTTCATTCTCAGGTCAGTGTTTTTGCATTTTAGGTTGCTGGGTTATGGTTTTAATAGACAATGAATGGACCTATGAAATTGAACAGACAGAAACCAGCCAGAACTAGAGTGCTTAAATTGCCTGTGTTTACAATTACACTAGTAGTGCAGATTTAATAGAGTTATTACATGTGTTTACACTAAAAGTTTCTTTATAAAAAGGATTCAGATTTTCAACACGTGCACAGAAGGTGCCAATTTCTTTGCTACACAAAAATTAATTATATGAGTTCACCTCTCTCAGACAATGTTGCTTTGTCTCCGTAATGTAATAATGGCCAGTAACTTTTATTGAGTATCCAGGGTACCAAGGCTGGTAAAAACCACCTGGGAAATTCCCTCTATTAACTATTTCACACATGGATACTGCCAAATTCTTGAGTGCTTTCTAAATATTTGCCAAAGCACAACTGTTGCTGACTCCCAAAAGTTTTCTAAGAAAATCTAACCGCATTTAAAACAACACCCCTAGGTAAACAATTTATCAAGCTGTCTGTTAAAGTGATGAAACAAGTGTGACTTATTAAGCAAAAAAAGGTGGGGAAAATGCTGAATGTTAAGATCACATAATCTGACAGCCTTAGGTGTGAGAAACTACACTTTCCCATCATATGAACACATATTTACAATTATAAAGGTACAAAATATTATCATGAGTTGGAAACCTAAATGACCTGGTGATTTGACTTCAAATATGAAATATCATCTTAATGTATAAAGTCAACATTGGTAACAAACCAATTTCTTAACTTCTTATTGAATTACTGAGTACATCCTACTGATTAGCAAATTTTCAACTTTTTTTTGTTAGAAGGACTTGCATTTTGGTGGACAGAAGACACACAGAACTTCAAATTTCAATTTCTCACAAACAAGATGATTATTAGATTTTCAATAAAGATTAGGTCATATCCCATATCACAAATTAGATTCATTTTCAGATAATAAGCTGTGTCTGAATTTATAAAGAAGGAAGACTGGATTTCTAACTGTTATCTAATGGACTATTTCATTTGAGCCTCCTCCAAAATATGTATAATGGTTGGAGTGTCACAGGCAAATGATTGAGCCATGTTTCAGAGGTTGGGCAAGATGTACATCTGAGACTGGAAATAGGATACAGAAGACTGATTGGGCTATAATATTTGTACTGAGTGCCACAGAGATGTTAAAAAGCTATTGAGTAAATCTTTTTTCTGCCAGAGGCAATACCATTTCTCGAATTAAATAAAAATTTATTGAATAATCATGGATATTTTATTGGGATGTATAAATCAGCAGAGCAGTGCATATTTCAATACATCCATTACTTGCATTTTTCATTTTATTTGAAACATGTATCAGATGACAGGTGGTATCTGAAAAAACAAACTGGAAGTCAACAATGCCATACTAACCATTGAGAGTAGCTTCCCACTGGACAGCTACCACATCAAGAGTGCCGCCCATTCTGCTGACAGTGATTTCCACACTTTGTCCCGACTGTGACTCGGGTTCTTCTACACTACTGCCAGATGTGGAAAATTCTGAAAACAGAAAAAAAACTTGTCTGAAGACACAGACATCCAATTATGTACCTGAGACAATGTGCTATTTCTAGCTAACATTATGTCAACACATGTTCTGCTATAGCTCTTGCCTCAATGGGTGTATACTTTAACCTACAATTACTAAAATGAGCATTTTGACCTGACCCCGATTAATGTAATGAACAAGTTGTGTCGGATTCGACTTTTGACACCATTTTGCTTTGCCTATCTTAAATTTACATCCATTAAATAGGGTTGGGAAATCCCTTAAGTTACTTTCTTTTCTGCCAAAAAGAATGTCAGACAGGCCCAACACAGCAAGAGATTCAAGAAAAGTCTGTATTAAGTGAGTAAGTGTGCCAGAAAAGACAGGATACAAGGGCAGGGTTATGTAACACTTGACTATTGATCTTTTCATGCAATTTTCCACCAAGCAGTTTTTCATTTATTCAATGCCAAAGGAGACATAAAATAGGGTGTCAAATCTTAAAAGTTGAGTCAAGCTACAGAACTTATGAATACATCCCAAGGCCAAAAATATCATAAGACAAAATTCTAAAGATTTATTTCACCAACAGTGAGTAAGACTAGCTCTTTCGACAATGTTGACTCTGAACATAAAAATAAGTAACAAAAACTGGTTCATCTCATAGGCATGTATGAGTATACTGGAAAATGAACCAGGTAATGTTTCCTGAAAAAGTAATAAATAAATAAGAAGAAAAATTACCAAAAGCTCCCTTGGGATCATCAGAGGACAAAATGGTGACCTGCGTGGATATCAGCCTTCCCAGCTGAGCACCTCCTGTAATCTGTGGCAATAGGCGGATAGTGAACGTTTCGTTTAACTCTGCGATCCTGTCATCGTTGATCTCCACGGGAACTCTCTTCCTCCTTTCCCTGTCAGCCAGGATGACATCACTGGAGGTGACACTGTAGTCCACAGTGTTGACAGCTGTGCCTGATATCACCTCAAACTTCACACTCACCTATAACAATTATTAAAATGGGGCACTTTTAAAGTAAATCTTTACAAATTTAAATTTAACATCAAACATGATATGCGTGATTATGTTCTGAAGTTTTGGCAAAAAATGAAAAGTTAAAAGGTATTACACTAAGGCAGCAGATCATAAAAGGACTTTTAATCAAATGACTTACTATTATCACAATAATTTTAGTGCTGCAAGTGCAACTCTTCAAAAAATTAATCCAAATTTTGTACTTAGATATCTTTAAACATTTCAATGTTAAAACACCTGTTAAAGCAAAAGCAACAGAATAAGAGAACAGGAACACAAACCTCTCCAAAAGAGCCTTCTTTGCGTACAACATCAACTATGGAGCCAGTAAAGTTCTCTGACACAGCCACAGAGGCTGTTGACAGCTCCAGGATGCCATTTGCATTGTCATTCTGGTTGATGATAATCTGAGCATAGGTTTGTTGGTTTGGGCCAAGGCGAGGAGAAAAGGACACTAAAAACCAACAATAAAAATATTATAAATACAGAGATGGGAATTCAGACACTCCATTCTCATAAGGACAGCAACCATGCATAAATGTTTATATGGCTCAGGAAATACAGGTATCACCTGGTGGCAATGCAGCCAAGGTGTTTTTCAGATCTGCTGGACCCAATTCTGTTGAAGGCACAAGTGTCAATTAAATTGCATGATTAACACATGCAGTTCCTTTCACTGGCAATGACAATCAGCATGTAGAACTTGCAATGCTCAGTAAATAATTATAGATAAATATACAAATAGGAATTAATAATTTATAAGATTACAGGAAAATTTATATTGGCATTCATTTAATACTAATTATAGATCCTTTCCTTCTTCACATAACAGGAGGTAATCCTTCAATGGCAAAAAAAAAAAAAAATAATAACTACATCTCTCAAGAAAGGCTGGTAGCTGAACACAGGGCTCATTCATATTATTAAAGGCACCCACGGTAAGCACCATTTTCACCTGCTTACCTGGTCTACTCTGTCCACCAGAGATCAACTCAACTGAAGTGAGACGGACAAATACGGATTCATCTCCTTCTGGAATCTGATCATCTCTGATGTGGATGTCAAAGTCTTCTCGATTTTGGTTCAGTCCCAGCTGAACATAGCCGCTCACAGGAACAAAATCACTTTCATTGGCACGTGCAACTGACCCAGGAAGGAAGTTATAATATTCATTTGCATCTAGTGTTGTGTAGTTGACTCGAACTAAACCCACAAAACCCTGTTGCCGCTGTACTGTTAATGTCACAACTGTTAAAAAATTAAATCAAAGAAGTTATTTTTCATGTTAGACACAATTGCAAAGACCAGAAAAACAAAGATTTAACATCCTTTGTTGTTATTTAAAGAAGGCAGGGTAATATAAAACAACTCAACAGAAAATATTTAAAGATAGTTTCTGTAACCATTACCATGGGAATTTAACCTTAAGTTAAATCAATATAAAGTTGTGGCTTACATGGATGGAAGACTAGAGTAACTCATTTATTCCCAGTATTTTCTGCATATTCGATATTTACTTCACTTCATTTATCATGGATTCTATACATGCACCATTGCGTTTTTTCCACCACAGAACACTTTCCAATTTCAGTTTTAATTTAATTTTCAGCTAAAGTTGAGATAACGGTTATTCTCAGCCACTTCATTTTAATGCTTGTTGATAGATTCAGTGAAACAAGTGCTATCAAATAATTGCAGTAACTATAAATCTATCAAATCCTGCTTACTAGGTGCTTTTTTGACAGGAAATGGCTTGATAACTGTTTCAATGATTATTGAAAACTGGATCAAAATGTCATTGGTACAACTCCTACAGACAACAAGGTACTTTTCAGTAGTAGAAAAAAAAGGTCAACTAGTACATTTCTTCGACTTTTTTCTATCACCCAAAGGTGAGCAAAAAAGACTATGAGATAACTAATTGAGATCCATTAAACAACAACATAAAAAAAACATATTTTTCAATCCTTAAAAGCCAATTAACAGAAATCCCAAATGCTTTTCCAATTTTTCATTTTTAATCTTTTTTACAAAAAATCCACCAGCTATTCAAAAGTCCTGGTCAGCATATGGCTTTAGAGAAGTTTTAATTTTCAGTAAACAGGAACTGAGGTCAGGCAACCCGTGTCTATTTTAAATTATGAGAAAAACCAACACAGCCTAAGTTTTGGGTTTCTTTGTCAAACAAACTGGCTAGACTTTTTGTGTGATCAAAGCGATCAAGGGCAAATCACTTTGTAGGCCCACACCTTAAATCTTACATTTCTGGTAAACAACGTCTATGGTGGTAACAGTTAACTTATTCATGTGCTGGTCCAACATTTTGATTTATTTTTGCCCTAAATGCATTTATCTAACACTGGATTCTCATTAAGGGCAGACAATGTCATCTGATATATATTTATCCCAGACAAAAACAATTTAAGTGCACTAAAATAAACTTTTTTTCCAATAACATATTTTAGATAAAAACTTGATCTAGCAATTTAGTGAAGTGTATTTATCCTTATAATTGAACTTTATTTTTTTCTCATGATTTTAAGTATTACAAAAGCCATCAAATTGAAATATTTTACTTGACCCCTAATAATGTGCATGTCCAGCAACAGAAAGTCTAATAAGCCTAAAATTCAAAATGTGATTATTCTAAATTAAATTCAAAAGGTAATAAATTTTGAAAAAGTTTTTGAAGAAGATCACATCATATAAATCTTAACTACTAAAACATACATTTTATGGAATAAAATCATTACCATGGTCTCCTTCCTCTGTTCTGATTGGCCTGTTGTTGTCAGCGATTGTGAATACTCCATATGGATCATCATTTGATAAAACAGTAAGGTTTGCCTGGAGTCTGAAGGAGTTCCCTAATTCTCCCTATTAAATATATGTGAATCACATTTATTTCATTCTTTTTTAAATAACATTGTTTGTTTTTCAAAGAAGTTGATCATTCTTTGTCCATGGATAATACAATCTTGAATATGATCATTGTTTGAAAGGGATTCTGTCAATGGTTTCCTGCTGTTTCAGACATTTGGATGAGAATGAATTCTAATATTCTTGATTTGGACTAGGTAAACAAGAACATTCCAGCATCAAAAATACAATATGCACACAGAATTTACTTTTATGATGAAATAAGTTTTGCAGAAACACCCATGAGTATAGACAGTCTGATAGTATCGCAAGACTTGACATTTCACTTAGTACTTCAAACAAGGTCAATAGCATACATATTTACTTTATGGTCTGATACACTAAAAACATCTCTCCCCTTTTATTTAAATGTTGATCTCAAGAAAATAACACAGAATGGAAGAACCATATTTTCATTTCAATGACAATAAGGTTGTTACCTTGTTGACACCAGTCAATTTTAGTACAAAGAATTCATCCAATTCTGGATAGGGATCACCTCTGACCTTGACCCCTATGACCTTTGTCTCTTCTCCTGACACAAAGGTCACCGAACCACTGTTTTCAACCAGGTCGTTCCCTACATCATTTTCTATCTGCCAGAAAACTGTTACTGAACCAATTTTACCACCAAGCCTCTCCACCTTAAAAAGAAGATACATGTGTGCAATTACATGATATGAAAACAATTTAAATGAGTGATACCTTGAAAAAATTTTATACATATACATTTGAATTAAATGGAAAAGAGCATGGCAGTCAGGAACAGTAAGATAAAAATTCAAAGAAAAGTCAAATTCAAGTTGCATCTGCCAAGAGGAATAAGTGGAAATTTAATCTTTAATATCCTGTTAGCAAAAATCTATTTTTACATTGCTGCAGAGATGGAATCATCTCATAGCAACATGACAATTTCTTATTTTCAAATTGATTGGCTCTATGTACATAACTACTAGGCATACGTGCATATGTTCCTTGGGAGAGGGGGGGTTAAGGGCACAGGGGTTTGGATATAAATAGTATAATAATCATTTTAATAATCATAAGCATTTTCTGGGGAACCAATCATAATTTTAACATTGGGAAGTACTGTGGCACTTGTTTCAAATGGAACATTTAGGAACAACATCAATTATTAGACTGCAAGAAATCTGTGCCAGAGCAGAATTTCTGTGCCAATGATCAGAGTTTCTGTCCAAGTTTATATAGGGATTGAAACACAAATTTTCCTGTATTTCCAACTTTTTATGAATAAACCATGTACTGCCAAATTTCTGTTTGGACAAATGTGAAACACAATTATACTTTTCATTGGTACTCTGCATCCAAATCAGTGCCCTTAACCTGGGCAGAATTGTGTCAAATAGAATTATCTTTATAACTACACAAAGGCTATACATTTGTACTGTTTCACACCCTCAATCTTTAAAAAAACTTGTACCCATTCAACTCTACACCTGACCTACAGTGAACACCCCTCTTTTTTATTTTTTAAAAGAAAATTTAGGCAAATCTCTTAACTTGAAACTAATAAACAAAGGCCAGCTGACTACAGTATAAGGGCCAAGTACATCCAAATGTTGCTGCTAAATTCTTATCAACCTTTAAGTTAGTGATTGAAAACCTTGGTTTAATCGGCACTGAATTTAAAGCTGCTCCAAGAAAAAGTGAACATGAGATTTAACCTTTCTTGTGCTTTGTCAGAATACATATTCTCTGCTAAACTTGCTGCAGTCTACTTGTTCAACTTGTGCTGTCAAAGTGAAAACTGGTATAGACCTAGACAGCACCAGAACTGCTCCACTTGGTCCCGAGTAATCATGCCATTTGTCATTTCTCCCTCTGCACTTCAAGTTGGTTAAGTTAATTCCAACACTTAGGTTTTCTAAAATCTTACCCTCTAGGCAAAAAAACTACAATTGTAAACATCCTGTAATTCTTTTAAGTAACACAACTTTCCCTCCGGGAGGCCCTTTTTATTAGTCTGACCTTTGTAGAGTGGCGGGAACACTTTAAAAAAAAATAAAAACTTTTAAAACTGAAAAAGCTACAGTCACAATCACTTGGTGTAACAAAAAGTTGATTTATTTATCTAACCATACTAGTTACTCAAACAAAAATCCTGTCCTTGCTTGCTGAGCACTTAATTTAGACAAGCCACATGCTTTTCATTCATATCCTCCACACCAATCCTTGATTCTTTACAAACAAAATGACTATGAAGATGTCCCAAGCCAAATTTAGCCTCAATCACAATTTTGAAGTAAAAAGCAAATGTTCTAGATATGTGTGCATGTATTTTTGAGATTTTTTTTTTGCTCTGGGAAATCAATAAAAGAAACATCAAAATGACGTGTAAAGTGGAAAAGCAGCGCAAGGATATATAGTTCATAGCTTTACATGCAGCGTGGGCTGGTCTCTGAGCTTTAAATAGAACTACATAGGGGAGGTGGAAGTTACAAACCTGAAACACGTGCATATAGGCAGGGAGTCGCCCCTTGGGAAAATGTACCCCCACCCTCATTAACAATGAGTCATCTTAACACCTGCCATGGTTGTACTGTTTCTGTGAAATATTTTTCCCATCGATGTCCACCATACAACAATTTTTTTCAAGCTTAAATAGAATTAGCCAATCAGAGGACTCTTTACATGTACATGCTACAGTTTTGTTGACTGTTTTTCCAAATGCAATTAATATAGTAAAAATTGGGTACATAATATCTTTTTTATTTTCAATTCATGGAGAACGAAAAGATAAATAATCTTATTTTCAACATTTCTTAATAATACTTAATACTTACCTTAAAATTGACAACAGTGAATCCAGTATCACCAGTCTCATTTACGGTAGCAGTCAGGGAATCAGAAGTAAACTGGAATTTTCCATAGGCATCGTCAGAACTGGCAATAGTAATATTAATGGTAGATCCAAGACCTGTTTCTGCCCCTCCAGTTGGGTTAAGAAGTTTCACCAAAAAATATTTGTCATCTTCTGGGATGGCATTGTCTGTGATGCTGATGTTTATATAGTCATATCGCTGACCAGGGCCAAAATTCAACCGGTTTACTCCAGCCTATTAAATTAAGTGACAAGATATAAAATATATAAATATATAAATGATGCTGTTAAAATAGTTCATGTTGACATGTGGATGGCATCAACTAGGGACTAGATGAGTGACTCCAGCATAGAAGAAACACAAGAATAATTGTGCCAATATTCTTTCCCATTTATTAACAAATTCAATTTCTATAAAAATAGTGTTCACTAGTAATATGTTTTTACAACTGCCATGTGTATAAATTAAGTAGCTTAATTTCAGCATGAAAAATAATGCATTCTGGCAATAATCCAATTACAATTTTGCCAAAAGAAGAGAAAAATTCAGAGTGAAAATACAATACAACGGTAAATAATAATAATAATCATATGGCTCAGTTACCATGGTCAGATTCAGTGTGAGATTCAATATTCTTTCATTAAAGAAATTAGTTCAATAAATTCCAGGACTTACTGGTCTGTCTGTAAAATGGTAAAGTTAAATCTTAAATCTTGATAAACACTGCATGATCTTTGATGCATATTACTATTTTTAATAAACCAGATAAACGCGATTTTTGGCAGCGCAACCACTGGCATTGGTTCTATGGATGTACTTGTGTCTTTTGTTGAAATAATGATAAGTTCACAGTTTGTCACATGATTATGCAAATTACTATTAGATTTTGGGCCAGTGAGATTAAATTTTTCAATGATTTAGTGAGATTTTAAACATGTTAAAGTGTTCCTATGTGAAACTTGCATTTAAGCATATTTTATAAACAGCTGCATCTGGCAAGCTGACAAAACATTCAAACATGAGAAATAAATGCAATACGCAGCATTGTTTTTATGACATAAAATCTCTCATATTGGAGCAGGTGTTACTGGAGTTCCACAGAAAGTTGTCTAACAGACAATGTTTTTCCTAATAACCCAAGACCCTAAGACTGCTGCCTAGGCACCAAAATTATCCAGACAAATTAGGCTAGTCCATGAATCATTTTTACAGTGCTTATGTACGCTAACTTCAGATATATGTGTTCAACACAATCTATTATGTGTGACAGTAATCATCATTTACAAATAAACTGTTTTTAGTTCCTAGAAAACATACTTCTGAAAATGATTAAGACACCATTTTTCATCGTCTTTTTTCTCCCAACTTAAAATTTATTTCAATCAACAGCATTTGCACAATCCCACACCTCCACACATCCACAGATAAAAGAAAAAACTAAAAATCAACCCCCTTTAATCAAGAGCCAGAATCAAATGAAAGAGGCAAATAGCTTATTGATGGCAAAAATCAGAGAAAAACCCCTATCAACTGTTACACCCACATAGTCTATACCATCTCCTGTGATCTAGTTCAAAACAGAAGTGCAGCTTACTGAGATAAATAACCTCCCAGTACCCCCTCAAATACTGCTTTGTGGGAAGGTAAACACCAAACAGGGAAGATATTATCTTTAAGGCAATGTCTTGATCAAAACACCATTAAAACATGCACAGCACACCCACATATTATGGTCACCAACTGTGTTCTTTCCATGTGAATCATTTCACAAATTATCAAAAACATGAGAAAGTTCATTACAATTCAGAAGTGGGGGTACAGCAGCCAATAGTTGACAGGAATTTTGTCTAGTCTGTGTGCACAAACTATCTTGAATGAAACATTATACAAACATGAAATTTTTACGTCAAAGCTGCGTCATCCATCTTTACATTATTTGCCTCATTTCATACCTAAACAATTGTTGATGAAAATAACTTAAAAGTTTAAAATTATTTCACTTTCCAACTTTCAAAAGAAGCATATTGTCAACCCAAATAAATTCCCATATTTCATGGAATGGAAAAAGAACAGAAAAAAAATAATAATGTGATGTTTATTTTCCTTTTATCATGAGGTATCAAAATTGACTTCCAACTTTATAATCAAAAGATAAAATCAACTTGTTGACAAAAGACCTTTTGATGAACAAAAAAACTAAATCAATTAAATTGCAAAATTAAGTCTATTTTTATATGATTATATCCATTCCTTAGACCTACACTAAGAAATCTTTCAGTTCCACGAAAACACACACAAAAACATTTACTTATGGAGTTTTGATATTTCCTTTAATGTACCATTATATCTCAAAAAAATACAGTATCTGTAAGATAGAAGCACCACATGGTTACATGAACAAATATCAGCATCTCTTTGGGCCCATTCCCAATGATACCAGATACCAGATAGTAGAAAGATTGAACTATGTGGGAACTCTAGCTAGATGCAAACTGATACAAAAATTAACACGCCTCCTCCTGGCATTGAGTAGAATACAAAAAAAGCTGGTGATTATACAAATTCCATTGGAAAAAAGAGAAAGTGTGTCATTCAGTTAATTGGATTGCATTCAGCAAGAGTGCCTCGAAGTTGGATCGATCTATCCAAAATATTAGTTCCATTAGGAATGGGTCCTTACAATGTTTTTGCCTGTCCAAAAAATGGCAGCAGGGAACAAGACAATGCATAACTTCTAGTCATACAGCAAACACGTGCACATTTCTGTGGTTGTGCTTAACAGTGATTTGCAATTACTAAATCAAAGTTACATGAACACAAAATAAGGACATGTCTACATACATATTTTGTTTTGTCGGGGGCACACTGCATGGACAAAAAACATGTAATTTTGCGGTTTCTGTGGCTTTTTAGTCCGTTTAGTGAGTCTATATTCTATTTCAGACCTACAGCTTGTCTTATCGTCATAGTTGAACAATAGTGTAAAGTGCAGAGCAACACATGTAGCTTATATGCACCAATGGGATCTGTTTGATTTACCACTAATAAGCCCTCGCCACTTCAAAAAGAAACCTGCAGAGCTTGCCAAGATAAACATGGGAGTTTTTGACAGTTAACGCCTAGTTAAGAGAGAAAGAATGACAGCTCAGTTGAGTATATAAGAGCTGCAATTTGGACTCCCTCCGCAAATCAGTGTTTCAGTCTCCAAGGAGGTGGTTAGACTTTGTGGTAAGCCACAGACTTGTAACAGAATAGATCCAATAACTGTTCATAAACTTAAGTCATACTGAGAGACTTAACCTTTGGATTGGCTACCAGACTCGACATAATCTGTTAAAGATATTGTCATGCAATAGCTGCAACCAAAGGATCCAGTGCAAGATTTCGGCAAACCTACAGAGGTTTTAACATTTTGCCACTGTAGACTTTGTGCATCATATTTATTGACTTCAATTGCCTTTTTTCTAACTGGTTTCCATACTTAACCCATATCTTGTGTACTTTTTGCATCAGAGTGCATCAATAACTTTCTCACAACTGCTGTTTGCTGTGTGCTTTCAAATGGCACTATTAACTGGTTTGATACTTCTTACATGCACAATCTTTGCCACTGAGGGCAGTGGAAGAAATGGCAGTGGCAATAGCAATGATGTTTCGACTTGCAGTTATGACTTAGTTTTACGAGGATGCAACCTTGGACAGAACCCTACAGATGCTCCTCAGTCCAACATAGATGACCATAGTGCCAGGCTATCTGTAACAGAGAGGCTTATCAACCAAATGTTACAGAGAACCAATAGCTCTGTTCCAAGGCATCTTCTACAAAAGATTATTCAGTCTCATTTATCTTCTTCTGTAGAGAGAAAATTGACCAAAATGATGGAGAGTTTTCAACACAAAGTAACCCGAATGCTTAGAAAAATGGAGTCACGCACATGCTGTGGAAATGTGCCAGAGAACGCAAGTAACTCCACTGGTGAGAGAAGTATCAAAACCAGTCAAAATACAGGGGTCTGCCCACAAGGTTTTGAAGGTTTTGAAAATTGGGTCTCCTGCTACAAGTTCTCCACGTTTAACACCACTTGGGCTAAAGCCATGGAATATTGTTCTGCTATGGGTGGCTCCTTGGTCAAAATCTGCACCACCAGAGAACACTTCATTCTCAGCTTTCTGCTGAACAATAACCAAGGTAAGGTCCTTCATTTTTTACAACTTATAATGCTATATTTTCAAAAACATGCAACTTAAATACAAATTTGAACCACTCATACAATCATGATTATTTTCAACTAGATGGATGATAATGAAAAAACTTGAAAATTCGTGCTTTTAAAATCAATCCACTTCATTTCTTAGAAATGTACAGCTTTCATCCTTTATTTATACCAAAACTCCAAAAATTACACTATTCCTATTATTTTAGTCACTTTAAAACAAGTAAAACAAGTAAAATCCACTGCAATCCCAATAATTTGTCAAAAAGCCATCTACAAAACAACAAAGGTTTTTAAATCCTGCAATTTTTTCACTTGTTTTTTCTTACCACCATTGTTTTATGAAACAGAGCTCTTCAGTCAAAGTAAAACACCAGATCTCCACTAAATGAACCTTGTTTTTCTTAAAACCAATGAAAGAATCCATAGCAGATTAAGTAATACACTGACAATTCAGCAGTATTGTGGTGAAAATGCTTATTTATACCATAATATGCGACATTCAGGTGTTTTTGATTCATGTCTGTTTTGAACAAAAATAGCAAGGAAAATAAAAGGCAGATGACAATAAAAATTTGCTGTCTGTTAATCTATGCCAACATCCTATAAAATTATATTCAAATCCAGATTCTTCAAGTTTCGAGCAAGCTACACGTATGCATTTCTTTTTAAAATCTCCTGGGGGGGGGATGTCATTAAAATCTCTTGGGGGGGGGGGGGGTTGTTGTGCATGTGTTGGTTACAATGTTTATGATAAAGAATATTTATGTCTTTCAATAGTACATTGATGCTTCAATGAATTAAAAACTGCATTCAAACACAAAGTGCCATGTGGCAAAAATTTAAACTGAGGCATGAATCAGAAGATTTTAGGTGAAAAAAATCACTGGAGTAAACACAGGTCCTATTTATATGTCAGAATTACTTGAATGGTTGCCAAGTCTAACAACAGCTAAACTAAGTTAAAAGCATTTTGCAAAATTGGGTTAAATTGTTTCTACATTTTGACCTAGAAATGCAGTCTGAAATGGCCCATTAAAAAGAAAATAACAAAAAAATAATGATTACTAATAAATGTCAAGTCTTGGACAGATTGGGGATAAGCAGCAAAAAGAAAGTAAGAAGGAAATGGCATTTCTAGCCAACTTGGTATATTTTCCGGTATAATTGTCATTATCAATAAGTTTTAAGTAGGCAGCAAAGCTGTCAAATGTACCAGCCATATCAGCAACAGAACTGTATATCAGGAAGTATTAGGTAAAATATTGACATTTGGTTAATCTATGCCACTAGGAATTTAGGGAGATTGTATGCTGCATAAAATGAATGCAAAGGAGAATGCTTTTTAAAGCCATTTTATCTTCCCTAGTATACAAATTTTTGAGATAAAATTATATTTCAGGTTAAGCATTACTTTGGTGTTATAAATCACATCAATCTGATGAAAATAATTTATGTGACACTTGTGTATACATTAAAAGCATTGAGAAAAAAATCTACAGTTAAAAAAAGGTATGTAACAACTTGCAAATAATGCTGCAAAAATGAAAAAGGGATATTTTCAGCAAAAAATTGGTACAAGAATGCTCCTATTTCAACTTAACAACCTGTATTTTGGTGGTATAATTTGCTCTAGTAATGTGAAAATGATAAGTCACTTATTGCATTGACAGTGACATAGCAGTGGCAATGATGGCTATAAGTACAGGAATAGCTTGTACCTAAAAATATTTCAAATAACTTGAAATTAACATACTATAACTACTTTTTTTTCAGAATTTGGTCATGTTAACAGCTGGTGGACCAGTGGCCACTACTTTGTTGGCATTAAGGAATGGGCCTGGGCCAAAATGGTCAAGTATGAAACCTTCCGTTTCACAAACTGGCCCAATGGGGCCCCAATGCCCCGAGAAGAAAGCTGTATGTACCTAGATAAGACCAACGACTACCAATGGGGGAGTGCCCACTGCCATGAGCGAAAAAATTTCATCTGTGAGGTGCCATCTAAAATCTGGCTGAACACCTAAAAGAAAAGGTTTCATCCACCCTCTTAAAATGTGAAAGACTTAAACGGGTGACATTGACATTGATATTCAGACAGCTATTTGTTATAGGGCTACTGTTATAAGGTTGGATATGCTGATTTGAGCACAGTCAATGATATACCTCAGACTTATACTGTTGATGTAAGAGTGTGTTGATATAAGTATACTGGATATAACTATAAGTATCTATCTCATAATTTGTTTAACATTTGCTTAAAAAGTGATAATTTATGCTGCCAATGAGTCAGCGTCCATCATGTTCACTGTCAACATGTCAACTTTTATTCAACCATATGCCAGGCCATTATTAAGCAATCTTTTGATTTTCCATAACTTGCCAAGATTTTTTGGTTAATATTTTTTTCAATTTTATCAATATTTACTACCCTTTTGATTGATTGATAGATATCAATATTGTCAGCAATGTCTTGATTTCAGGGAGTATTATATGCATTTAAAATCAAGCACCAACTAGTTTCTTTCAAATCAATAGATCTCTCTAGATGATCAAAGCCATTTTTTTAGCCATATACTTTGAATCTATAAAACAGATCAATTAAAAACAATTTTGGAACTGCACATATTTTATATAAACTGTCTTGGAAAATGTCATGGATGCATCTTCTCAATTTTTCAAAACAATTCTAGCAATTATGCACTGAAAGCAAAAAGTTATGGTATATTAAACCATGTGTTTTAAACATGATGCAATAGCAAAAAGAAAAAAATCACAACAGATTGTTCACAATCTTCCAAAATACTTTTAAATTTGGCCAAAGAAGTTCAACATGCAAATACAACAAGGATTATAAAAGCCTAGCTTGGCTGCAGTATGATAAAACAGACTAATCTCTTTTACTTTTGTGAAAAAGATATATTTTGGAGTATTTAAAATAAAATATGGTGCATCTACACGGAGTCATTTGTTTTCATTTATTTTTTGAAATTTAATTTAACTTGTCATAGTCTTTTAACCAATTCTGTATTAGTAATTCATTTCAAATTTTACTGGACTAACTATATATGTAAACCCAATTCACTTTGTTTAGAAAATATGAAAAGAAAACAGTACTGTATAATGACTTAAAGAAAAACATAGTAATAACTGACACATATAAATACTTTCAGTTCCATGTTTTGGATGATATAGGTGTTCATGAATGGAGTCCATAAGAATGGCATTTCTAAATGCCATATCGATACTTCAAAAGTGTTTTATCTGACCAAGCTACAACTAATGTCTGTAGCTCATAATTTCTTATTTTTCATGAAAATAAAAGACTTTATTATTTGACTTTGTGTTTTTAAGGAGATGCTCTTGTGCCTTGTGAAGAAAAAGAAAAATACACCTTTACTTTTACATAACAATTGAAGGCAGCATCCATAACCAGAAACATTTTGTCATAGAATTAATGTGCAAAGAAGTTGTGAATGCTAGAAACATTTTCATACAACCAAGTTTAGTTCAGTGAAATCACAACCACTTTTTACAGCTGATCACACTTTTGGATTACTTTTTTGTTTTGGAGTGTGTTCCAGCAATTGTGCACTAAAAATTAACCATCTGCTAACAATTTCATCTAACCACATTGTATCAGTCGTGTACTGAATGGAAATGATCTGGAACAAATATATCATGCAAATTCTAAGAAAAAAACTCATTATTGCTGAAACCGCAAAGTCATGATTCCTTTTGCTTTTTTTTAGACTGTTGGCATTTTGTTACTGCCAGAAATGTCTGGCAAAACACCGTGCCCAACTTGATGTACCCATACTTTAGCAAGCAGGCGAGCAAGTGAGAGAGAAAGAGTGGGGGATGGAGGAGAGAAGAAACATCCAATTTACCAAAATCATTAATATCATAGCAAGATACAAAAAAAATTAAATGTGACTGTAACTCACTCAAATAAATAAATAAATAAATAAAAATTTATTTGCCTCTACCAAAGTTTATCTTTTTAAACCCTTCTGTCTGGTAGGGGAGGGGCTTGTACAAAAAATCTGGAAACAATACACACAGTGTACAAAGTGCATTCAGTTTCATCAAACCCACACGTGCACTATATGGCCTAGGAGCAAAACTTTCCACACATGCAAAAGGAACTGAGTGCACAACACATTGGTGCTCCACCTAACTCCTGATTAATTAAATAATTTCAAATTTATCCACTATACATGGCATGGCATAAGTCAAATTTCCCCTCTATAAATCCCAAGTGTGACAAATGTTATACCAAGTTTCATACCATAGGCAACAAGGCCTCCAATTTTAAATAAAAAAATGTGGAAAAAAACAATTTTTGAGCATTCTTAAAGTATTGAGAGTTTAGAACATGTGACTCATTACCTTTTTTATTTACAAAAAAGTAAAATACACCAGTTTAAACCTACATGTACATATTTGTCTGGTGTTCACTTACTCATTATTCATTTATTTGTGGGGGGAAATAGTTGTGCAACAGCCAATAATACGCAGAGTGGGACACATTTCTCAAAGATTAAAAAAAGAATTAGTAGTATCACAATAATAAACCATTTTTGTATTTAATTCTGTTGCAATCAAATCTTCAAGCTGTGAAAAACCCATTTCAATACTTACATGTAAATCATTCTGTAAAATATGAGAGGAATACACAATTATTAATTAATAACAAAGAAACAGACTGCTATGGCAGCTTCTGAAATATACTAAATGACCCCAAATTTCATTTTGTACCTAAATGTAATTTTTAATTACTTATTTTCATTCACATCAGGACTTTCTAAGGTGAAACTCCATCTCCACTAGTTTAACTGCCAAAATGTAATATTTTGATTTAAATATCTCACACGTCAACAGCTACTGCTTAATTGCCTAACTGCAAGTAATAATGCACTAAAAAAGTTTTTGCTGTTGACATATCCAATTACTTAGCATGCTCAGTATGACGTCAGAGAAAGAAAAGTTAAATTTTCAAAAACACATGGGTGGGGGTACAATAATAAACATTCTTTCTTCCACTATCTGTTCTCAACTGACCCAGTTCTGTGTTTTTATACTTAAGGTTACAGAAAACCTGTTTAGAAAGTCAGTTTCTCAGATCAAATTTCAAAACACAAATTTTCAGAAGGGTTTATGTCAATTTGTTTGCTATTTGTGGCAAGAACAGCCATCAATTGTTAAGTTTTCAGTTGTTTGTCAAAACTATTCCCTAAATTGTGTATTCTTTACTTCACACAGTGAAATAAAACAGGACTGCAACATATTGAGAACAAATTATGTTTTTTTTTAACCATAAAGCTATAAAAAGCCTGTGAAGTCTGCCACTTTTCTTTTAATAACAATAAATTGAACAAATGAACTAGGGAAAAAAACAAATTCTTTGAAAAAAGTAAAATCCACAGTTATCTTTACATGAATAATCCAAGTTATTTAAAATACCTTATTTAAAATAAGCTAAATAAGTGTCATTTTAAATTCTGAGGACTATCCTCAAAGTTCTTTTTTTACATATTCAATTCTACTGATTCCTGCCTGTCTGAACATAGGTATGCTCAATCTTGAAGCTTTTCTCAACTTCCTGGAGATCATATATTCTAAACTAAGAAATTAGATACACAAGTTTAAAAAGAACATTTAAGTCTGTAAATTCCATCACGTGTGTCTGTAAGTTATTCAGTGGCCAGCAGAAACTAGACAGTTCAAAGGAAACAATGCTCTATTTTAAGTTGGTTGTCCAGGGTAGAAGTCTGGATCTATTTAACAACAGGGATCCAGAGTGTAAAAATAACACCTAGAGAGGACAGATGTTTTTCATTTTCAACTTAAAAATAGAGAAGTAGGCAAAACTTAATCTTTATTACTATTATATATTAATTTAACTCCACCTTTAATCTTTTTTTACTATCTTATATAAAATGTATAATTGGTGATTGCAATTTTCATTTACATTTGTTAAAATATGATAACAATGCAACTGTGCTATTCTGATATTTTACACTTGAAATTGGCATACCAGATACAAAAGACAAGGTTTGAATCACGATTATTTAAATCACAACTAAATTCAATTTAATTTTAGCCTAGACAGAAAATGTAACATATCTTTGGATTGGCTCATCATCAAGTAACAATTCAATTTAAGAAAACCTTTGCTGTCAACAATGAGATTGTTATGTAATCTTCAAATGTCTCCCAACACTTGCAGGACCTTGACCCAAATGTTACATACAAAACAAATTAGGATCCTACACGAAATCTGTACTTTTACTTGAAATTGTTACAAGTAATTTTTCACAGCTTGTTCAGTTTAGACAAGCAAAAACTTGTACCGACAAAAGCAAAACAAGATTTCTGCATTTTACTGGTGTGTGTGTGTGTGTGTATGTGTGTATGTGTGTGTGTGTGTGTGTGTGTGTGTGTGTGAGTGAGTGAGTGAGTGACACCATGAACAAAACAACCAAACTTTTGGAATCCTCAAAAAGAATACTGAACAAAATTATGCCACATTCCCTTTTTTTCTTATTGGAAGTAACACATTGAAACAGTAATGGAATAATAAAAGGAAAAATGTTATAATGTTATCATACCGGTTTGTATAAGAATCAAGTTATTTTGTTTAAATTTACCAGTTTTCTTGAGCAACATTGCCAGTAAGATGTGCCAAAGTAAAATACATTCAAGTCACACAAGAGTTAAATTATTGGGGAATTGGCAAACAGTTGCCATTATTCTGTTTAATGTTTTTCTGTCCTTAAATAAAGTTGTAAGACAGAAGTCAAGCAACTTTTTCAACCAAATATTTTGCTGTGTTTTACAGAATTAATGATAAACAAAGCTCCAACATCTTTTTTGGTAATTTGTCCTGGGATAAATGCTGGCTCAGAAATTCTCATTAGCATTTATTTTTTAATACCATATATCACAGAGAAGTTTTGTTATTCTGGGATTGTTTACAAATATAATTTGTTTTTCTGGAAATCACCATTTCCAATTGAAATAA